CAAAAATCAAACAGACAATCAAAAGGAAAATCAAGCACAAAATTAGAACACAAAATCAGAACAAACTGACCAAAACTAAAACGAAAATTAAACTAGAAATTAGCAATTATGAGAACAGAAACAAAAAGAAAAAGGTTAAACAGGAAACAGAACTCACCGGACTGCCTTTGAATTTGATGAGTTTCCATAGCATTTTTGGGTCACAATTGTCCTTAATCATGTGTTTTTTATGAGAAAACACATGATTAAGGGCTATTATAGCCCAAAATCGAAAAATCCTCAACATTAGGGTTTTAGGGTTTTTTGGCCAATTTTCGATTTAAATTCGAAAAGCTCCGGTGATGTTCGAAGCATTTCAGTTAGGGATTAGGGATGAGGGAGGTCAGGGGAGTATGGGGTGTGAATTTGGAGTCGTTTGGACAACTTTACGTTTTGGCCGAAATTTTCGATTTAAAATTCGAAGCTTTTGGTGAGGATTTGAGGGAAGCTAAGGCTAGATATGGAAATAGGAGGAGGAGAGGATTTAAGGGTGTTAATTTGGACGGGAACGGAGGTGGCGCCGCCGCGGGCGGCGGAGGCGGTGTTCACGGATTGGGATATTCGACCAATTTGGCTAAGTTTTGGAAGAAACTAAGCTTAGATTCGGAATGGGGAGGACGAGGGGGTACCATGGTGTAATTTTGGATGAGATTGGAGACCGGCCGCCGGCGGAGACGACTTCCGGCAGGCGGCGGATGGTGGAGGCACAGAAGGGTACGAGGAAGACGAAATCTGTCTCTAGGGTTTCTAATATTTTCGAACAGTTTTATTTAATGTGGAGATTGAACCTGGGCCGCTAGATTATGGAGATGGATGGCTGGGATTGATTGAGCACTTAACTAATTCAAAACGATGTAGTGTTTGTCTTATACTACGTCGTTTTGTTGGTCTCAGTGGGCATGGTCATTTGGACCGGGTGGGGGTGAATTTGGGCCATTTTGGCCAAGTTGGGTGTTTATTAAGACCGGTCCACCTTTTTAATTGTTTTTCCTTATTTCTTTTGTTTTTCTTCTTTTATTGCTTTTATTTATTTTCATTTTCATTTTGTATGTTTTATGATTTTATTAAAAATGCAAAACATTAAAGTAAAGACCTAATATATTTTCAAAGTTAAACTAATTAATTCCTAAAATTGTTTAAATAAAAAATCTATTTCGTGAAAAATTCACAATTAACAATTAAAAATGCAAAAATGGACTATTTTTTGTTATTTTCTTCATATTTTGTTCTAAAAATAACTTAACCACTAATTAATCCTAAAATATGAAATTAGATCCTAAACGCAAATGCCAAGTATTTTTAAAATGCACAAATAAAATGCAAACAATTAACAGAAACTAACACAAAATTCACAAAATTGTAAAATAATGAAAGAAATCATTTTGTTTGAATTTTTGGGAATAATTCATATAGGGCAAAAATCACGTGCTCACAAGTGCCGAGCCTAACCTCGACGAAGTAGTAACGAGGCTAAGGCGGACACTTACAATAACTATGCAGTATATAATAATAACAAGGAAGGAAAACAGAAATTGAAAGTAAGGCAGTTAATTTATGAAAAAGAACTCAATCCTCACAGTCGGATAACCCAGAATGACCAATCTCATAATTTCATGTAAAAATGCTGGAAAGCAACACAATAACATCAACGAAAACAACATACACAATCTGTTACGGCTCGCAACCTGATCCCACTGTACACACACAATCCTCCCTTATTCCACCATAGCATCATTTATCAATATCAAGAATCACATATAAAATCCGTTGCGGCGCGCAACCCGATCCCGCCATATCATCATAATCAATGTCATAATCCTCCCTTATTTTACCATGTCACAATTTATCAATATCAAGTATTACGTACTCAACCGTTGCGGCGCGTAACCTGACCCACCATATCAATATCAAAATCCTCCCTTATTCCACCATATTACAACCGTTGCGGTGTGCAATCTGATCCATAAACAATTTCAATAAATGTAATCAATCAAATAGCTCAATTCACAAGAATATCTATGATTAAAGAATATGAAAGCAATGCAATAAAGGAACCATTACTAATCAAAGGAATGCTACAAATAATATAATAGCAACAAGACAATTCAAGTACGTGACAATTAAGGAGTACAAGTAAGACAATTAAGGCAAGTAGAAATTAATAACGGAGTCATGGAAGGGACAAACATTTCAATACAAGAATAATTAATGACAAGTAATAAATTACCGCATGGGAAAGCAATTAAAGCATGTAACAGTTAAGCATGGAGTGAGATCATTCATAAAATACGAGAAAGACATGGAAACAATTAATTTGACGGCGTATATACAATGTCACCTCGCATATACGTCATTTCACATGTAATTCACATAACATATAGTTCAAGGGTTCCTAATTCCCTCAAATCAGGTTAGACCCAACACTTACCTCGCTTTGCAACCAAATCAAAGCTCAACCAGGGCCTTTCCTCTAAAATTCACCTCCAAACCAATCGAATCTAACCAAAATTGACTTAATATCATCAAACAATGCTAGGGAAATCAATTACAATAGATAAAGCAAAGATCTTTACACTTTTCCCAAAAAGTAAACAAAAGTCAACCCTGGGTTCGCTTGGTCAAAATCCGAGATTCGGACCAAAATCCAATTACCCCTTTTCCCTCGAGCCCGATTATGTGATTAGTTCCGAAATTCGACCTCAATTTGAGGTCTAAATCTCAATTTTACAAAAATTTCCAATTCTACCCAAATCCCTAATTTCTACCATAAAAGAGCATAGACTAAAAGCCAGAAATCAATGGGTGTTGATGGAAATAGAAGAAAATGAGTTAAAATATACTAACCTATGAAGTGGGGATGAAATTTCTCTTCAAAATCGCCTCTAGGCCGAGCTCTAATGTGAAGATGGTGAAAAGTGAAAAAAATCCCGTCTTTGGGATATTTTAAATCACTGGCATCAGGTTTTCATCGCGTTCGCAAAGGACCTGACGTGATCGCGAAGCACTGCGGCCTAAGTGGCCTTCACGTTTGCTAGATGCTCCTCGCGTTCGCGATGCCTCTTCCTCCCTGGCCATCACGTTCGCGACCCTTTGATCGCGTTTGCGTAGAACACCTAGCTGCTCCCCTCCCGGGCCCCTTACTCATTGCATTCGCGGGTGAAGAGCCGCGTTCGCGGAGGGTTACCCCTCCTCCCCCCCTCCCCTCCCCGAATGCTCCGCGTTCGCGAAGAAGAAATCCTCCCCAATCTCCAGTTACCCTTCGCGATCGCGAAGAAGGATACACCAGATATCAGCAGCAGTGAAAACCAGCAATCCTTCAAGTCCAAAGTGGTCTGTAGCCTATTCGAAACTCACCCGAGCCCCTCGGGCTCCAAACCAAATATGCATACAAGTATAAGAACATCACACGAACTTGCTCGCGAGATCAAAACACCAAAATAACACCTAGAACCATGAGTCGGACATCAAAATGAATGAAATTTTCAAAGAAACTTAAGAACCTCCAAACTTACAACAGGACATCCGAATCACGTCAAATCAACTCCGTTTTGCATCAAATTTTAAAGACAAGTCATAAATAGCGAAATGAACCTATTCCAAGTTCCGAAACCGAACTTCGAACCCAGTAGCTACAAAGTCAACCTACGATCAAACTTAGGAATTCTTTAAACTTTCAAATTTCTAATTTTTCAACAAATCACGTTAAATCAAGTTAGGGACTTTCAAATTCGATTCCGCGAATATGCCCAAGTCCCAAATCACGGTACGGACCCACAAGGACCGTCAAAATACTGATCCGGATCCGTTTACACAAAATATTGACCGTAGTCAATTCAAATCATTTTTAAGGCTAAATTTAACATTTTCTCCAATTTTTCACATAAAATTTTTTCGGAAAAAGACACGAAATGAAGGCTAAAACTCAAAGTGACCTATCGGGTCATCACATAGATAGTCCAAAGTCCAAAAAGAATAATGTGGAGTATTTATTTTTGGTGACTTCTTTCTTTTTGTTCTATAGTATTAGAATCACAAAAAATATTTTTTTTTGTATCCGATATTTATTAAATAATTAAATCTTAATATTTAAAATTTATAGTGAATGCGTAATACTTAACTATTAGTAAATAATAAATGAGTGTAAGAAAAACATGTTTCTTGTATTTACTTTACTAGTTTGGTATAAACTCAGTTAGTCTTTTACTTAAAACCCACCATTCTTTTTCAGGAAAAGAACATTTTTGCAACACTATACTTCGCAAGTTGCTGTTTAAATTACTTTTGTTACCATCCTTTCGCTTTCCCTACGCTCGATTGGTAATTTGTCCTTGTAGTTTAGCTCGTCGAGCTAATTTTATGCAGGGCATAATACATAAACAAGCCCCCAAACTTGGCCTCAGCCGGCAAGTACGCCCTCCAACTTTAAGTGTGCACAAGTAGGCACCTCAGCTTGTCTCTACTTTGTCAGTTGAACACTCCAATTTACAAAATGATCATCTAGATACCTCCAAAATTTATGTGTCATGTCAGCATTTGTGTTTACGTGTTCAACTTTATACAAGTTGAGTTGTTTACTTGTGCAAAGTGCAAACCCAAAGTTGGAGGGCATACTTACCCGCTGAGGCCAAGTTTGAGGGCTTGTTTATGTGCCTTCATGCAGATTTGGGCTCCCCAACCCCCACAAAAAAAAAAAAAAAAAAAAAAAAAAGCAACCAGAATGCTGGACTCCAGCCTGACCACCAGCAGCAGATTTCCAAATTCCAAGTATGTGCTGAGATATCCAGCAAATAGGTTCCTCCTATGGTCAATAAGGCAACAGTTGAGTCTGGGAATTCTGGAAAGCAAAACATATTATTTTTGCTTATGTTACTCTGAGGATCTCTAAGATGTTCCAATTCCAAATAGGACGCTAATCATTTGGTGAATATCAGATAATCAATTCAATGTGAAACCATTACAAGACAAATAACTATATCTACATTTCATGTATAACAACGCTTCATTTTCCAGATAATGTTCGCCAAAATCCATCAGCTTTAACCAGATACAAAAAATTATCCCAACTGGACATAAAATATTTGTGAAACAACTCTTCCCCTTGCCATCTGGAAAAAGAGGTTACAAATACAGAATTACAACTATAATCATATCAACCCAAATTCACTTTTTTCAGCTGAGCAAGTCAGCTTTCTGTAATCTCAAACGCTGCAATTCCTCACCTTGCTGCACAACTAAAATCCATTTTCTTGACATCTCATAGATATATATCTTACTACTTTGTTATCATCTCTTAGGTAAAACGTACCTTCAGCTTCGTAGGAAATTTTCATTCCGAGTATATATTTACCTAAGTGAGTTGTTGCCTGATAGCATCTTCATGACTAGCGTTAGGAAAAAAATTGACTTAATCCTTGAAGCATGAGAAATTGAGCAGCCAGCTCTAGAAATTAGTTGCCTCCTCTGCATCTACAGGTTCCTTAAATTTTGCCTTCTCACTAAGTTGTTGAAATGCATTTACAAGATTTTGAAGCCTTGCAACAAACTCAATTAACAAGGAAGTAAAAGTCGACAACGACAATGCACTTGCACTTTCATATGTACGTACTTCACGTTCATTTATAATCACATCTCCAAGAATTGAAAGCCGTGAAGGCCACACCATCTGATTGAACACATTCCCGGAGGAACATAATTGTGAAGCAGAAATATTCATACTTGCATTTGGATTCTGAGTATCCAGGTATTTCAATGTATGAGCAGACCTTAAATTGAGAGTTGCTTCACTAAGGGAGTTAACCGCCAAGCGTTTAGGTTCGTTGTCCTTCAGTTCCTGAAGATGTTCAGGATCTTCAAACTGCTTAGGTCGATTTGCATTTTCCCAGTTCTCCACATGAACCAAAAGATAAGATTTTTGGTCAATCAACAGTTGTAGATCCTCAGCAGCCTCATGAACTTCTTCAAGAAGGTCCCCGGGGCTAAGTTTCTCCATCTTTTCTACTTTGTCTCCGAGATGTCGTATCACTTTAGCTCCTTCAATCCCAACTCTCTGGATCTCCTTGCAAAAGACCTGCCTCAATTCAGACGCTGCCTGCAATAAGGACAATTTGCGGAAATTAATATGGAACCATGAAGCTTAAAGTCTTAATCATGGGCCTCAAAGAGTAGGAACAGAGGAAGTGCAAACAACTAAAAATCAGCTGTACCATCATATTTGATATCCAGCTACTTTGATGAACATAAGAAAGCTGGCCTTTTTTTCCATTTACTTTATTCAGAATAATATATATTGAAATAGATAAAAATATAAGACATATGCTCTATCCAGTTGAAAATACATGAATCCAATCTCAATGTATACTTGCTTTCATATCTTTGGCCAATAAATCATTTGTGGTTGTCTAACAATGCAAAACTTGGAAGCTTCCTTATGACATATCATGACAGTAGCATTTTTTAAGTACCAAAAGTACTTGTACTGAAGCCGTCATATGGAGTTTTTGTTTATAATACTTCTTTAGAAACCCCCACAAAAACAAATGCAGTCTAAAAATGCAACAGATTAAATCATCTCAACATCTTTAGGATAACTTGTTTCCAAAAAGAAGAATCAAATAAACATTGGAAAATGGCACAGTTATTGCCCACATGCAAAGATTTTGATGGACAATTTTTGAAATTGGTTGGTTGAACTAATAATAAGTTATTTACATATATGAATGATTTATACTAACTAACTACCTCCACCAAACACAGGTAAGTCAAGTAAAAACTGGACAGTGCAGATCCAATTGGCAGTAAAAAGGACAACACTATAGCACAAAAATGTACGGTCGATCTATGACTCTATAAAAATTTAAATCTGAAAACACTGGATACTTTAGAAATGCACAACCAAATTCAGGTTCCAAGGGTGACTTCTCACCCCAAAATAAGTTAGTTAACATATGAGAATTTCATAATCTGCAGAAGATCTATAAACATTTCTCTCTGCCCATTTCATTTTTGGCCCAAAGATGAGTTGCAAAAGCCCGATATGGAGAGTACTTGGCACAGTATCTAAAATTCTCTATTCATAATTCCTAAGCTGCTTCATAGCTGAAGGGATGCATATCAAAATGCAGGTTGTAGTTTATATCCAATTCGGTAAATCATATCCAATTACTTCAATAAGATCTTTACTTCATTTTTTGGAGAAGGTAAGACAACAGTTATAAGGAATCACCAAATCCAACAAGTCTATGATTTTAAAAGCATCTGCAATATAATAGGAAGAGAGTTTGATGCAGGAGTTTGAACATTGAAGCTTTACCTGTATTTCCGAAAGAATACAGCTATGCATAGCCATGACCATGAAAGCGCAATGCCTCAATGCACCACTGACTTTAACATATTCAGCCCACGGATAATTGAACATCCTGTAACGGCCATGAGGGGGTTCCCATACAGCAAAACCTAGCTGCACCAGGAATTTAAAAGTTAGTAATAAGAGAAAATTGCGCAATATCCCTATGTCCCAAATGAAAATCCACTTCAACCCCCAAAACCATCCTAAAATAATTCAAAAGAACCATTCTGAGTTCTGTATTCACCATAAAGTATCTATGAAGAATAGTGTACCAGAGAATCCTCTTGGCTTGTGGACTCCATAGCGGCCCTGTATCCACTATACACAGGATCATCAGAGGCCTGGTAAAGAAGAATTTTTGACGGTATCCTATCATATTCAAGACATTGCAGATAGCCATTGACACAACCTAACAAGACGTGTCGCTGGTGTTAGTTCAGCATAGCCTGGAAAGAGCATGTTCCAAGACAAATTGAAGATAAGAATAGAGGAAATCCTCACCTTCCAAAGAAGTAGCAACACCCTTAAAATTCTTTACCACCAATTTGTGCAAATCTTCACCAGCCCAAATGGGGAAGAGGCCAACGTTTATAAGTAAACAGACGCCAGCACCAACCCCAATTAGCAACAATCGGGAAACAGCTGCTTGAAAAAAATGTGAAGTTCCCGATACCAGCACAATACAATATGTCAACAAGAACACTCGAAATCCATATTCATATTGCTTCATTGCAGGATACAATTTCAAATAAGTTGCACAAAATCCTGAATCAAAAGATAAAAGTAATAAGATTAGAGCTGCACACAAGTCAGATGCACAGCCATGCATATTTCACCAAGGATAACAGGAGAAAAGAGATGTTACTTTACAGAGGAAGTGAAAGGTAAAAGAATATAATATCAGATAGGCATTAGTCTCAGACTTATGCAGTAATTCTCTTACTTGATTTTGTCCATGTAGCAACCAGGTAAAACCCTTCCTTCAATTTTACATTTTATGCTGCTGCTTCTTTTCTGCTTTGATTAGTATTGTCCATATAATGCTTATGCATTAGAAAAGATATAGATGGTAATTCTTGTTGGTGCTTCTGGTACGTTATGTAGTCTTAATAAAAGAGGTTATAGAAGATTGTATCTGAATCTTAGACTTCTCTACTTCCTTTTCCTTTCTAGTCTACTCTCAACGTTTCGACTCTCAGCAGCAAGAAGTCCCGCTATTGACTTCTACTCGTGCTGTTTTTTCCTCCTAATAACCAACATTTCCACAATCCTTCTAGCCTAAGTACTATTTTACACTTTCAGGAGAAAAGCCCTGTAATAAGAATCTAAACAAAGCCTTTTCAAATTTGTACAATACTAAATTTTAAAGGAAGAGTTTCACAAAAAGCCGCTGTTTCCCTTTCTTCTTCCTCTTTTTTCCATTTTAGGGGATTCGTTAATTTTTCTATACCCTATCCCTCAACCCCTCCCTCCTCCCAGGGGAAAAATGGTTTTCCCCAATTTTTGCCCCCTTGGTGACTCCATCTACCAGCCTAATCATTGGATGTTGAGGGGCTTTATTGAAGTCAAAACCACTATTAAGAGAGAGTGTGAATTAAGTAATCATTTACTCGGAACTACAGAATTGATCAAAGCCATGGGGGTTACAAAGGAAAAAGGAGTCGGAGCTCATCTTTTCGTCTAACCCAAATACAAGATAGCTATCAGTAAATTTTGACATCTAAAAAGGGCAGCCCGGTGCACGCTATGCGCGGGGTCCGGGGAAGGGTCGGACCAGAAGGGTCTATTGTATGCAACCTTACCATGCATTTCTGCAAGACGTTGTTTCTACGGCTCTAACCCGTGACCTATTCTCTTAAATTGCTATTGAATAGTTTGACATTTCAACTGCTAAGTTATTCCTTAAACTAGTCTTGCTAGTAAGGGGAAGCAGATAAAATGGGATGAAAGAAGTTCATGCTCATTCACAAATGAAACTGTACCCAATGTGTACATCATGAATTGAAGGATATTCTTGATGTAAAATACTAGAATTCAAACCAGACCTGCAATAAAAATGCTGATGACAATCACAACCTCCTGCCATTTTCCAGCCATAACAGATAATTCGGCAATGCCCAAAGCTAGCCCTGCAGCAGACAATGTCCCCAAAGCCCTGTTGAATCCTTTGTTAAGTGTCGCACCTAGCATTTGTATATATCAATTAGATTGTGGATATCAAGCAGGAATATCCACCAAAAGAAATGGATAACTGTTACTTGTCAAAATGGATAAATGTAAAAGAACAATGAACATTCAAATAGTTTGAATATTCACAAAATTTTAACATACCTATGCTGAACTCGAATACAACGACAACGGTGAGGATGGCCCAAATGGAGTATGTACCAATATAGGATAGAGGTTCTTTAAAGAAAATGAGAACCGAAACGAGGGAAAGTGCTGAACCCATCTTAGCAGCGAAAATGACTTTCCTTGGATCCTTACGACCCATCTCAATTGCCTTGAATGAACCTTGTTTAACATTACTGCAAAATTCATTAATTCGATTGCGTAATCGACGCCAAAATCCTTCATTTTCAATGTAAAATGAAGCATCCAATCCATACTCTGAACCATTGTGCAGCAATCTCGCTTTGCTCGTTTCATTAAAGTTTTGATCCACATTGGCCCCCGCCATTTTCACCCGTATAATTGCTGAATTTCGGATCAATTTTCATAAAAGCAGCAAAATTTGATGGAAAATTCGCATGATTCTTTTTTCTGAAGTATATAGATAGATAGAAGAGAGAATGATCTTGTATGAGATTGAAACTCTTAAAAGTTATAAAAAGAAGAGCAACCGTTGGTCATGATAATAGTGAAACATTCTTATAAATCCCTCAGTTGGAGAAAAAGAAAAAAAAAAAAAAAAAACAAGACCAACCGTCAGTTGCGAACCAAAAATCAAAAAATAGAAAAAAAAGAACCGTCAGGCAGAATAATTCAATCATAAGAAGGTTGTTTGCTTTCACAAAGAGCTGCGTCAACATGTTATTTATTTCTACTCCCTCTTTCGCTTTTACTAGATTTTTCATTTTTACTTATCACTTGATCATAAGAAGATAAATTTTTTTTTTATATTATATTCACTGTATTTATTACTCATTTCAAATTATTTTGTCAAATCCAATAAAATATAGGGAGAATTACACCCCTTGTCATTTGGCTCAACAACCCATCAGAAAATCACGTTTGGAGCCCTTACCCAGTGTAGCCAAGGTTGTACATAACCTGAAAATTTTTCTCCCATTGTTATTCTCCTTCAATTCTTCTTCCAGATTCAAAGATGGTAATCTCTTATGAAGTGCATTATTCTATAATTTTATCACTTATGGTTCAAAGATTCGATTTCAGAAAATTGAGTTTTTCGATTTGTTAATTGTTTGGAATGGGTGTTGTCCCAAATGATTGGAATTATCAACAGGAGTTCAAAACTTAAATTTCAAGTGATTTAGAGTAGATTCTGGATTTGAGTTAAATTCCAGAGGATGCCCAAGGAAGAAGAAGAACCTGTGAAGCTCCATTGATAGGATTCATTTGTATAATAATGTATAATATTGTATAAATAGTATATAAAGTGTATAAACACCTCTTATACACTATTTTATACAAGGTTGATACATTATTTACAGGTATTTGGTGAATTTCTCACATTTTCTTCTTCTTCTTCTTATACACCTATATACATAGTGTATCACGAATATTTTTACTACTGTGATTATACATCTTTATACACTTTTATACAACTATATACATAATGTAGCTATTTGTATAAAAGTGTATAACACTGTATAAAAGTGTATAAGCATCTATGATGAACTTTTTCTATGATTTTCACTTGCAATTCTAGTATAAAACTAGTCCAAATCTCCAGCAAATAACTTCAAACTTTGTATACAACCTACTTAGACTATTTCTAATAAGTTCAAACAATACCCACTCCAAATTTCTCACAAAATCATAATCGAAATTTAAGAAGATCAGCATTGAACGAGATGAGATTTTAGGTTTCTCACGTCTGATTTTGCGTTTTGTAGTTGTGATAGGTATGTATAAAATTGAGGAAAAAAGAGAATAAAAACTCACGGATATTTCACGCCTAAAGATACACAAAATAAGAAAATGAAAAAGAATAATTCGGAAAAATATTGATTATGGGAGAAGGCATGAATGAGTGTTGACTGAGTGTCTCGATCAATGGTTACACTAAAAATAGGGAACTGATTTTCGTTTTCATTTTTTGTTTGCATATGATACTTTTTAATTAATTAAATTAAATATTTATGAGTGAAAAGTGAGGAGAGAGCTACAATACGGTAGGTAGGTGATGGAAAAAAAAGATGAGGTTGTTATAGTTATAGGGAATGGTAAAAGAAAAGGTCTTATTGATATTTGGCTACACATTTGCAAACTTGTAACTGGGCTAAAATAGTGCAAGGTCTACTTATGAAGTACATTATTGTGTAATTTTGTCTAAAATATACATCAATTAATATAGATATCATGATAAATTATATACTTCATTTATTATTTATTAAAGAGCGTGAAAAGTCAAAACGTGTCGTGTAAAAGTGAACGGAGGGAGTATTAATTATAACACAAATATATAATAGTATACGCTTTTTCCCATTGTGCTTTAAGGATTTTTTCGAACAACAAAAAGAAATTGCAATTTCGATGCCCAAAATCAACTTGCACTTGAGATACTTGATAAAGAGCGAAAAGATACGTGTTCCACAGAATTGAATTTTTTACACGCCATATAAGAAAAAGGAAAAGAACTGTATACACGCCAAATAAGCTAATACTCATATATTTAGAGACAAAATAGAACTTTTTCTTATTTTGGGTAATTAGAGATAATAGGACTAAACAATTCCAAATATTATTCTTTTCTTATTAAAACAGTATTAACAGGAGAATAAGAATTGCTTGATTGAATAGCATATTATCATGAATGAAACTCTTCACACTGAGAGTGTGTGTTCTGTGTTCAGTATGGAGGAAGTTTTCTAAAATTTCCTGTTTGGTTGGTTTTCTCTAAGAACGCAAGTGTTTTACAATACATCAGAAAATGACTTAATTTTTTTTTTTTTTTTCACTTGTTTAGTGAACACATACAAGATTTGAATTTAAATATTGGTTCGGATGAACCCTAGGTTTATCTCTACAAACGCCACCGACTGCAAGTGTACAAATGCATTATGGCTAACTCTGTAACCAAGTCCATATTGTCGGGTTCATATTGGATCAAAATCTACGGCTCTAAAAACAATTTATGTCCTGGCAGAACGAAATAACAGCAAATTAAGTTTCCGTTTGGATATAAATTTTTTTTGCTTTAAAAAAAGTTAGAACACGTTTTTGAGAGATCACTTTGAACTATTTATATTCAGTAGCCGCAAACGCGTATAAAATTTATATATCTTTTGTTTATAACATACAAATATATATATATATATATATATATATACTAGTCTCTATGTTCGTGCTTTGCACGAATATGTCTTGCGTTACAAACTATAAAACACGTAACATCCAGTTTCATAAAATGATTATTATTGAGGAATATGTACAAAGCACAACAAGCAATTCGTAAAGTAGTAGTAGTAGTAGTAATAATAATAATAATAATAATAATAATAATAATAATATAGGTTAGACCGATGAGAATAATATATATTTTTCTGATCCAGGGAATATATATGTTTCAATTCTATGAAATAAGGAAAAACACCCAAAACCCCAACAAAGCCCTAGCCCTCATAACCCAAATACAACCATTATTAATTATTATGCGCATAGCAATAAAAAACTAAAAATAGCAAGAAGGAAAGTATACAACAAAAGCAAGACGGCATGCTGGCATAACTTACTCTCCTTTGAGATAGATATATTGAATTAATCTTAGAGAGACAATTCTTGTAATAAATAAAATAATATTAACGTATGAAAGAATGATATTTCGTGCGAGCAGCAAAGCAATGAGGCAACAATGTAACGTGTCCAATGTTCCTTTATGTAGGTATTCTTCTTTGTCCGTGTAAAATTTTTATGACTATAGGAGTTCAAGATTAGGTAGGAACATATTGTTATCCAAAAAGAAGAAGGCTACTATACGTAGCATCTATAAAGTCTTAAAGAATTTGATCCAAAAGCAATTTTGTAGGCTTAGCGTACGTGTAGTTTAAATCGGAAAAGAATTCCAACCTTAGGTGATTTACAATTATATCCTTAAATTATATTAATAATTAAGGCTATAAAAGTCGATCAATATTTCGGGAATATTTTAGTCGTGCAACATTTAACATAAATTATTCGTGGTTTTATAATAACATATATATATATATATATATATATATATATATATATATATATATATATATATATATATATATATACACAAATAAAAAACATACAAAATATATATATTTTTCGACTATTATTTCGAGAGCGAGTGTCATACAGTATTATTTTCCCAAGAAATTTTCAAGTTTCTAAAACTGATTTGGACCAACCTTTGGGTGAAAATCTTTTCCTTCACTCACAAAACTTCAAATTTTTTTCCAAGTAAAATACATGTCCAAAGACAACTTCAACTTCCAAAAATTATTTTTCAGAACTTCAAAAATTCATTTGTTTTAAGTTTTAACCAAACATAGATGGACGCTAGCTAAACATCGCACCACAACTATCGCCTTTCTAAATTCCACAAGTGACCATCAATCAAGATTTTACCATTTTTATTACTAGCTTGGCACTTTTAAAAGTTAGTGTAATGGTCTCGACTCTTGAACATCGTCTCTTGTACCTTACCGTCTTTCTTCATTCTACTAGTAATCGGTCTTTACACATTAACAGAATAATCACATATCTTTCACGAATTAATCACGTCAAATTACAAATGATAACCTCACTTTCAAGCCCGAGTACATTATTCAGCAGAATATAGCCATCAACACAAACCACCTACCGCCACTCCTCCCACTCACCATTAAATAAACCCAGTGGGGGCAGGGGTAACTCTTCCTTGCACTCCAAATTGTCAGCACCAAGAAAATAATTTTAAACATTCTTAAAATCTCATCAACAAAGTAACAAGTGTTGAAATTCATACACTCAGCTGACATTGAATGCTATAGCTAAAAAGTTCAAAGCAAATTCTGTAATTAACTAAATAGGACTCAAAAAGACGGGACAAGTAAATCAACCAAGATAAACCTCACTACTTCTTTTCCTCCTTCTCAGCCTCTGCAGCCCTCTTCATCCTAGCACCAATGTGACGCTCGTTCGTCCGCTCCACACGTAGCTTGCCATAGGCATTGAACGACTTCATCTCTTCAGTAACCTTGACTAGATCAACTGATGGCTTCTCACGTGCAATAGGCATGTAATCACCATGGACTTGAGTTGCAGTAGCCAATTCCTCGGGGGCAGAATCACCAGCCTGAAGGGAGTTGCAGCAATTAGGAAACAAACAGAGAAAAAGCACCTCTCAGAAGAAGCCATACACACATTTATGTTTCCACTCAGCAGAAACTACAGATCTTACCTTGACCTTGCGAGCACGTCTTGGGAAGACAACTAATTTGGCCTTGTAGGTCTTCAACCTTTGAACATTAGTTTGAAGCCCCTCAAGTGACCGATTCCTGCGACGATGATCAACCGCAATACCAATTGTTGGAGCCAGTTTCTTGGGGATACCTGCAGCCTGGAAGCAATTCATATAACAATCAGACAAACATGGATTGAATTACTCATCAAAGTTAAATCATTCTGCATTACGTTCTCAATTGTCAGTGTAACCCCCCATATAACATTAGAATGA